CCATATGCCATTTTAAGAGAGTTACATCATTAAAAATATTTTGAATCAATGTAAGACGTGCTGCCATCTATTGATGAAAACTTTATTCATATAATCTGAATATTCTCAGATTCGAGATGCTTAAATTTTCTGGTGTCCTAATTTCCGCAGAAGAATTTTCAAATAGCTGCATTTATTTTCATCTGATAATTCTATTTTAAGCTACTACATTTTTTTTAGTTTAAAATAGTTTTATTAGATTTTAATTTTTATTTATTCAGATCTTTGCCTTTTAATTATGAAAAAATATAATAATCTTTCTTTAATTATGTATTATTACTTGGGAAAATATTTCAAGATTCTAGGTTTTATCCGATTTTATTAATTTTGCTTTATTGCAGCAATAAATCCCCGATTTTTTTATTTATTTTTTTTGTAATTTTCAAAAATGTTAAAATATATATAAATGTTGGGCTTTTTAGTTCATTCTGCTAAGAAAAAAAAGTTTAGTTATTTTAATTAATTTAGTTGCATTCAGTAAACAAAAATATGTTTGTTATGAAGTTCTTTTTTATGAAATCTCACGTTTCTATACTAAAGCGAAAGTCTGTTAGCAAATAACTCGAGAGGTTTTTTTCTGCAGCTTCCAAATTTTTAAAGAGGATTTCTAAATCACCAGTTTCAACCGACGTTTAGTTCAAGAGCAATAGCGAAATTCCTTTGTTGAAAACCATTGCTACAGATTCAATTTTTCCTTATCTCTTTTGAATGATTTGCATGGCGCTTTCTGTTACAGGATGTTAATATTTGTTTAATCAATTTGCGATATTTTTCTTCCTTCCATATTGCGTTGTTTCCATGCATTATTCAAAAATGCTGTTTTTCATTGTTTCAACATTGCGCTATAATAAAAATAAATAAAAGCAGATGAATTTCGAAAAAAATGAAATACCTAATTAAAGCTCTCTAAGCTAATAGTTTAAATCCTGAAGTAAAAACGAGTGTTAGAAACAAAAACAAATATGCAGGCTAACATAAAAGTTATATATATGTAAAAAATAACTATATTTAACGAAGTAATTTTAATTATAAATATGCTTATTCGTTCAAACTACTTTTTAATTTCAAGAGGTGTAAAATTACTAAATTCTAATATTAAAACTTTTTGTTAGTTCGTTGCCAAATATTAATAATAGTTATCATTTTTTGACATCCTTTTAATGCACAAATTTTAATTCTGTACCTGGATATTATTATCCTTTAAATGAAAAATATCACAAAACTTACAAAAATAATCCAAATTTTTAATGGCGGCAGGTTGGGCACTAACAGAAGCTAAAAAGGCATCATACATAAAATTATATGTTTGCGCACCCACATTTAACTGCCAGATTGAGACAGGTCTCGACAGTGGCTGAGTAGTCGCACCTCGCGCTCTCGTGGTAAAGATCCTGGGTTCGATACTCGGACCGGGAAAGGTTGACTCAGACCCTACAGTGGGTCAATAAAATGGGTACCAAACATGATTGGGAACTAAACACCGTTGGTTCCGTGTTCGGCTGACCATCCAACGACCGGAACATCTGCTCCTTCTCCCCAGAGAAGATGGGCACTCTTTTGGCTGTTGCTCCTGTGAGTTAAGTTTAGGTTTCAAATCCTAGGTTTAAATATATATATTTATATAAATAAAGAAACTGCAAAAAATGTTTCATTTAGGCTTAAGAAGTGGAATAAAATTGGCAATCCAAAATTAATTCTAATTATAAATTAAATTTGCCATCTTTTTTAAAACATAAGTGCACATTTATTTGGTTATGGTATCTTTTTTTTTCCGACCGTGCCATTAAACAAAAATATTTTTTGCTTTAGAATGTATTGTTTACTGTTTTAGATCTGTGTATTTTTTTACTTTAAAAGAATTTATAATCGTTGTCGTTTTGGCGAAATGACCCTTAGAAAGTTGCTAATTTGTTTTATTATCCATCAAAAGCACCATTGAGATAATTAGTATATTTGCTTTTTGTACTGAACTTTTTATTTCAACAAATTCACCTCGAAACCATCATGAAGGAGACTAAAATTAAATCCACTCTCACTTGAGTTCGTTTATATAGACTAACATATTGTCTTCATATTTGAGCGTACGATTTTAAATCTAGAAATTCCATTTATTTTCAGCTGTTCACCGAAGGCGGCTACTAATTTTATATTTTGACATTTTTCAGACCTTTTACATTGATTTTCAAGTTGAAAAAAGTTTTCTGATTCCCTTGACTTGATTTCACAGTCTTCATGTCAATAGGAACTTATTATGCTATTATTATAGTTGGACATTGTAAGAGACTGGCCACTAGATGGCACACTAACTTTCTTTTAGGTTTCTGTTTGTTTCCAAAGAGAGTGGAGTCGAGATTATAAAAATGATGATGGCGGTATTTTGATAAATGTCTTGGTTAAATTTTGTCTGTAATGTGTCGTTTTTATGTCTGTTTTGTGCATCTCTAACTTGTGAATAAATAATTTAAGATGCAAGCTACTAGTCTTTTCTGAGAAAGTATAAAAGTCTTTACAACATTAAACTCTACAAATTTTCATGAATTCAGATTTTTAAGCCTCACCTTGAGTCTTTAATTTTAATCGTCATACTATCAAAGTGAACGGGCTTTTTGATTAATGAATGAGCATGATCTATTTTTAGATTATTTATAAACTTTAAAAATAAAACTTGTTTTTCTAATATATTTTTTATGAAAAAATATTTTCATACATTTTTTAAAACATAAATTATAAACATTTAAAAAAAATATTTTTTGAAAGAAATATTTTCAGGCAATAAAAAATAATAATGTGTCATATTATCTGATTTTCGGGTCGGGTTATTTGCTTAGTGTTTAACTGTATTGTAGGTTTTTTATTGTGTTGTTCAACTAAGACTTCGCTATAGATAAAATTATAAAAGAGTCATTTAATCAAAATATTATTTTATTTCTTCATAAATACATAAAAGCAGAAAATAATTCAATTAAAATTTATAAAAAATGATATCACTTAAAATGCACAAAATCTCATATATCACATTGTGTAAAGATCCATGCTGACACGCAGCATTGAAAGCCCTTTGATTTTCAAATCACGAAGTCTGATAATGCAATTGGGTTGGTAATGATTCTCCTAGAAATGTTGCATACATGACTTAGAGGTTCAAAGTGAAATAGGAAAGCTGCAGCAATCGCCAAAATATCTTGGCAAGGCACGATTACTTATATCGATGTGGATGTTCACAGTTTGTGTAGGGCACATCATTTAGTGTTTCATTGCTCCTTGATTTCTTCTCTCAAAGCTTACAAGTATCAATAGTTCTTGTTAGTATTGTGCTGTGGCAATCAAACTATCGGTTGCATGGCATCGAACCATTTGAGGACATCCATATATTTAGGTGCAGAAAAGATTATTATTATTATTCTTTTGTAAATTTATAACTAATAGTAACTAAGAACCATCTTTGTCAAACTTGATTTCATTATCAAGCAGTTATGAGATATTTTACGCCATTCTGCATTTTTAACACGTGTAAAATGAATGAGTACACAGTTATTGAAATTATATTCGACGAAACAGAAATTATTTTCAAACGAGTTTGTTACTTTTCTTCAGTTTGAGCCAGGTGCTTTTTTTTAATTTTTTGCTTTTTGTTTCTATTCTCTGTAAGAGGAGATGATCTTGTTTAAAAAAATTTCCGCGTTTTTAAGATGATTTTGGAGAAATTGGAGTCCTCAAGCATTTTGACAACTACTGAAATTCGGGAATCGTCCTCACCTTATATAAAATGTCCTTTCAGATCTCTGTAACCACTTTTTCCTAATGTTTTCGGTCTATGCAATCCTCGTGATGTACCCTTGTTGCAACTTTTAAGTTTGTGGATGAGATGAGGTTACATCTTGAAGAAAGGGGCTCAAGAATCCAAAGCAATCCGCAGAAGATGGATGCGCCACCCAGGAGATGAAATAGATGATCATAACTGCCCATTGTGTCTCGGAAATAACCTAAAACATGAATTTATATTAGTAATATGTCATTTTTGTTTATAAACTTAGACCATATTTTGATGAGTGTTCATTATTTTCAGGTGACCACTTATTCTACTTCTTCTTTGAATCCTTACTTTGATTTTGAACTAGCAAAATATAATTTGTAACTCTATTTGCTTTTGAGTTATTAGCTTGTAACTGAATAAAAATTGTAAACATAATTTAGTTTGATATTAAGATATCCTGAATTATCTTTTTTTTTTTTTTTTTTTTACTTAAATGTAAGATAATTAATGTTAGAAGAAAAAAGATAATTAATGTTAGAAGTCTTTAATATACGGCACGAAATATTAGATGTCTCAGTACAATTCAAACTAGTATTATAATTTAAATTTTTTTCACTTAAAAACTTCCTCTTTAAAACGTTTCTGTACTGTTTAATTTACGTTTCAACATAAGTTTATTTTTTGTTATAATCAAGTATACAATTAGATAGTCAAAAATAACAGCGTCCCAAGGATTAAGTTTTTTAAATATGCTTGCTCTTACGAAACAGGGCTTAGAGAAAGATTAATACAAACGAATTCAACATCAAAGATTTTTAACACTAAATTACATGTGTTATGTCTGTAACTACAATGAATTGTGAATATTATAAATGCATGTTTTAAAGTATTTTTAATGTATGTATGTTTAAAATACATGTTATATTATAAATCTAGTTAATAAATGTCTTAAAACAAATTATTTTAAATGATAATTCTTTTATCGAAAAAATCTTTCTAGGTTGACTTCTAAAATGTGATACATACTTAATAATTATGTACTAGTAAAGTAATGAATAAAAAAATTATTTTTTTTTTGAAAAAAACTTTTTGTATTAATTATAATTTCTTATTTTAAAATAAATAAAGCATTATTAGACGAACTTTTTTTTAATCAAAATAAGCTATAAAAGATAACGTATTATTAATTAATTAAATAGAATTTATGACAATTTTGAAGTTTCATAGGTTGTTGACGTTCATATAATTATGTGTGTAAATTATATGAAACATTTTAAAACCCATAAGTGGTTATCCCATTATTAAAGAGATGAAATTCATAAATATTTTTTAATCCACCAAAGTCTCTCTTTTTTTTATAACCGTTGTTGAGCAGCTGACAAGATTTTGAGTTTATGTCTACCAATGCCTTGAACCCAATACAGAAGACAAGGGAACTTCTCAAGTATTGGGAAAAATTTGCCGTCTTGGAGGGACTTTTGATGAAATGAACACGCATTAGCGTTTCACGAAGAAGAAAACCTCGAAAATCTCCCAAGGTTAGCCTGACAGCAAGGGGACTCTAACCTATGATCTGTCTATCACTGATGATAATTTACGTCAGCTCTGTTGTCGATGCGAGCCGGGTGCGGAATTCGTATTTATTGTAATTTTGAACATAATTCAGAAGACAAGGGAACTCTTGGATCAATACAAATTTTTACATTTTTTAAAACCTGTAATTCTGACCTTTTAAAAATGTCGATTTTTTAATTCTTTATGGTCTTCTCTCATCAGCAACAAATCGGTTAAGTAAGTTTTTTATCTTTTTGACGGTCATTAAAACAAAACTTATTCTAGAGATATCTTTTTTCTTTTTTTTTTTTTGACATTGTAGAGTGCGCTAAAAAATAAACGGACCACCTTGAATGACTTTTGATCGGATTTTCACGTTCTAGGACTCATTTTTAATGACTGAAGGGAGTGAACTCAAATAGGCTAATTAATAAAGGCAGACGAGTTCACCATTGAAACTGTATAGACAATTTTTATTTATTTACTTTTTTTTAAAATTCCTATTTAATATTTGTTTTTAATTCCTATTATAAAAACTCGTTGAATGCTTTTGGCCAAAAAAATATTTTGTAATAATAAAGAGAATTTCTGATAATTTTGTTTTTATTGTTCTAATGGTATATTTTTCAAAATGCTATACATAAAAGTAAATGTAACGATGTTTAATAATTTTAAAACGGAGAATAACTTATAGACCGTTTTTAAAATGTTTATCATTAAGTGTTTGCGTTGGAAAGTTATATTAGATTGTACTTTAAAATAAAAACACTATTAATTTCGAAAACGTAATAATAGCCGAGAGTAATACTAAGAAAGAATGATAGCGTCAAATAAGGACTGAGCGTACAGGTAAAAAATACCTTTATATCTTTCGTTCATTTTATACTTATGACATAACATAAGAGATTTTTATTTGTGAATTTCTAGCCAATAAGAATAGCAATAAGGAACAGTTTTGGACTTGTATGTTAGCATAAAGAAATAAAATACACCAACGGAAAAAGAACAATTTTTCTCAAAAATGCAATGTAAATCCGATGGGAGATAATGTTTCTCCGAACTATAAAACGTTCAGACATAAAGTTATAATAAATACCATGTCTAAGCACCTTTTGGTGACATTGAATTCAAGTTTACTTAACTTTCATTTATTTACTTTAATTTACTTACTGAATTTATTTTTTTATTTTAATTTAATCGATGAATCCAAGCTGACTTTGATAGTTTGGAATTTTAATTGAAATTTCGTATAAATAAGTTATTAGTTAGCCCCTTAAGTATTACCTTAGCCATTAGTTAGCTCCATTAATTATTAACTCAACTTCTAGGCAGGCGCGAGGAAACTTAAAAAAACTTAAATACTCCCGATTCCATTTTGCAGATTGAGATTATCCGGAAAAAAATATCCCAATTTGAGCCACCGATTTCAGCACCACAGATTTGCGCTGTAATCGACAAAAAGGAAAAATGAGGTTAAAATTTTTTTTAAAAATGAACTCTACTCTAGAAAGAAACTCTCTAGAAACTCTAGAAAGATACGTCAGATCGTGTTTGATATTTTGAAAAACCTAAGTTCCGTAAAGCGGTGGTGATCGAAGTAGTTGTTCAACCTTATTTTTATTTACTTGAGATGTAATGCCATTGGGTTCATCTTTAAGTTAAAAATTATAATTTAAAAATCAAATGGAGAATCTTCAATATTTAAAAGAAGAAAAAAAAAACGGTGGTTTATATTTGAAATTCCTCAGGGCTCATTGAGCATATCTGTTATGGATTGAAAAGTAAAATGCTTTACTTACCTGTAAGCAAGGGTGTCACTAATGAAATCACACCAATCGAAAAATTCATAAGCCCGATGGCCATGGGCAGCTGCCGTATTCCCAAATATTCTTCTAAGAGGGCATAAAAGAGAATGAGATTGATCCCCACCACGAGTCCAGTACACACTGATATGGCAGTGACAGCTATGTATGTGGTGGTGAATGAAGTGGCTGCCAACAGTCCGCCCACCAAAATCATATTTCCCATCATAAGATGTTTCCGCTTCATAATGCCACTGTCTGTGATCCAACCAGATCCCACTCGGCCTATAAGATCAGCTATTGAGAAGGTAGATACGAGAAAGACACAGTCTGTCCTGTCTATACCCAAATCTAGAGAATAATCCACTATAACAATCAAGTAAGTCATATAGGAGAGGAAAAAAATGGAATAGTTGCTAGCAATAATCAGGAACATTGGATTCTTGATGATTTCGCAGGCAGCTTTGATGGGTTCCATCATGCCTTTCAACCGATTGTCATCTTGCACCACGTAGATCGGTTTTTGTGGATCTTCAATCAATTGGAGTGTTCCGTGAGGTTCATCTACTGTTACCTGGGATTCATAGTGTCTCTTTTTCTTAATAGAAACCCCATTGATACCATTTTGTTTCAGATGATTGCTTTTTGTGGCTATAATGGCTGACATTTTTGAGTTAGGCAGTAGAGAATTATCTTCGTCGTCATCATTTCCATTGTGGTGAATTGTAGAGACTGTTTTATTCTTTGAGGAAGGATTTTCGTTCAGCAGATTTTCTACTTCTTCCGATTTCGTTAGAAAATTCAGATTCTGGTCTCCTGTAATGGAATTAAAAAATTTTTAATCCTTTTTTGTCCGACTTAAGGTTGTAACGGACAGTTAATTCGTAGCACCAGATGGCGCTACCCCTCTATCCGCAAAAAACAATAACAATAGTCTTCATTCTGACTTAATGTGAGATGACGCAAGACGAGCTCCGAACCTTCCTGGTTCCCTTCTCCCCACTCAATTTGGATAAAACTTTCAAGTTCTTTTTTTTTATGTTAGTTAAAGTTATATTGTTACTCTTTATTGTTTAATGTGAATGTATAATTAAAATATTGAGCTCTTTGTGATGGTGTTTACCTTCCATCATCTTGCGTCCTTACAAAATTGGCACCCAACGTGGGGTCGGGTCTGGTCCACTCCTGATCTTTTATCTTAAGAATTTTCAGTTATATGTTCCCTCTGGAACCAACTGAAAAGAAACAAATTATCACCCTGATAACTTTCAATGTTTCAATCATGAAACTTTTATACCTACTTTTGGTTTAATTAAAGTGATAATGTTTTCCATTCAATTACACTTTGCATGTTGTTAATTGTGAATTTGCACGAATAACTAAAGTTTCTATTATGCTGTGCTTATAATTCCTCTGATAAAATAGATTTCTTGGTACATAGTTAATGTTTCTAAGTACATCGATTCATATTTATCCTTAAAACGAACTAAACTTAAAAGTGTTTAGCTTTCAAAAATGAAAACAGAAATCAAAAGTTTTTCCATATACATGTATTTATTGTTGACTGAAGTATATAATATTAAACTTTCTTGTGGTATTAAAGTATGCTATGTTTGAATTATTTAAACGTGATACTTCCTTGTTCAATTTATAATGAGGATAGGATACAAAGCGAAAGTGATTGTATAAACATAACTCACTTTAATATATTTATATTGCACTGCAGATGCAATGACTGAATTCGTAAACAAATACATTGTTACATTTTGTACCTTCTAAAGAGCTCATCCAAGCTCAATAATATAAGTGTGTTATACTTTGAAGAAAATAAGATAGTAAATTGCAAACGCTCATCCGAGCTTTATTTTGTTGTTATTGCACAGTTACTTTTTACCCGATTAAAATTTGTTAAACGTATTTTTGAATATAAGTTTATTCTTTTAATTATAAAAAGTATGAAAGTATCTAAGAATTCACCCCGAATTCTATAATTTTAGTTAAGTAAGGTAACTACTGTTTTTTGTTTGTTTCATAAAAGTGGTAAAAGCAAATATTTAGTTCCAAGAAACATTTTTATATTTATTGAATGTTTATTAAAGATGACGACGTAAAGTTAGAAAGTTTCACTTTCTATCGCCTACTCAATAATACTTAAGAAATGTATGATTCATTCCTGCCAGGAAGTTCTTAATTAAAAATATTTAATTCATGGATAAATGAGAATAGCTTATTTTACTGTGGTTTGGAAAATATGTTAATCCCAATGGAAGATTTATGAAGTGAATGGTTTATTTTCTTTTCTTTGGTGGTTAAAGATGTCATTAATAATAAGCTCTCGTAACATTTATGGAAATAAATTGGATGATTTTATTCTGTTGCTTGAAATATTATATAGTGATTTCTTTTATTATTATTACTGTGTTCTTAAGTCAAATGCTCTTTTAATGTTCTCAACAGTGATTTTGTTTTGATTTTAAGAAGTATTTTGGCATTATTTTTAACTTAAGAAGGTTGCGTTTTGATAAAATTTTGAGTTATGTTTTGAGAATTTTGTAGTTCTGTTTCAGGATTGCATTTTAAGGAGTTGCTTATTTTAAGTAGAATTGCATTTTAAAAAGGAATTTTTTTTATTGTACCTTAAGAATTTTTTGTGGTATTACGTGTATACACCACAATAAGATGTTGCTATTTTTTCTTCTTGTAATAATAGCATTTGGTTGAATTTAAATTTAATTTGTTGTATGTGAATTGAATTTAAAACATATATATTTCTGATACATTTTCAGGTTATTTTCTCTGCTGTATTTAAAATTTTGTTTAATGTATCAGTATAGCAAAGTTTATCTATATAAAACTTAATATTTAATTTCTTCTGTGTGTTTTTTAGTTAAGTGTTGTAGTGAAAATGTGTATTGTTAAAGTCACATTTTTCTTGTAATATGCATTTAAAGGGGTAATTTCTATATCTGATTACTGAAGTTGATTTTGAAAATTTATCAGTTTTACCAGTTTTCCTTTCCTTTTTTGAAAATTGGTTTGTTTTATTTTATTATTTGATTGGGTGAATTTACTAAAAAATAATAATAATTTTGTAAAAGAAACTGAATGATAGAAAGACAATATCTGAACAATTAAAAAAAAATTATTGCATCTTTTTCCCTCCCCCCTGACTCCACAAATAACCATGACTTACTTAGCCAAGGCCCGTAAAGAGGATTTGAAAACGTTATCCATAGAATTGGGCTTGGAGGTAAGTGATACCATGCTCATTATTGATTTAAAGGAACTTATCATAAAATCTGACACTTATGATGAAGAATTCACTAAAACCCTTCTTGATACTATAATAGAAACTAGGCATCAAACAGAAAGTGATAACAAAGAATTAGAGGAGCGTAAAAGACAAGAAAGTGACCAGTTGTTGGAGATCGAACGTTTGAAGTTAAACTTGGCAGCTGCTAGCTCAAATCCTACCTTTGGCACATTTGCTTCAAACGCAACTGCTGAAATAAATATGCAACATCTAATTCCTAAATTCAACCCTAAAACAGAATAACTAGGGAATTTTTTAAATATTTTTGAGAGACAGGTGAAATTCATGAAGCTACATGAGTCCTCATGGATTCCTTACTTGATTGGAACCCTTCCAACAGACATCACTTCTCTCATTGTCCGAGAACCTGAAGAAACCCAAGAGTATAAAAAAAATTAAAAGAAATGCTTCTACGAAGTTTAAAATTTACTGGTGACTAATTTCGTCAACTCTTCGTTCAACATAAGAAGGACCCAGATAAAACATGCAAAGACTTCTTCGAAATTTCTGGCTTCTTCGAAGGTTGGCTTAGCGAACTTAAGGTGGATGATTTTGAAAGACTGAAACAACTGATCATTGCAGATCAGATTAAAAAGAAAGTACCGCCCGAAGTCAAGAAACACTTTCTTGACATTTGGTGATCTTTTCATCAAAAGAAGACGTTTCCTCCTAAACAACCACCTCAAGAGAGAAAACCCTATTTCCAAAGAAATGATAGGGTGAAAAAGGAATATTCTCCTGAAGTTGTATGCTGTGGGTGTGGCACACCAGGTGTCTGTAAACCTAAATGTAAAACTTGTAAAGGAAGTGACAAGAAAAACCATGGTACCCTCAGCAGTGCTATTTTTCAATCGGTATCTAGACCATCAAGACAGTTGGCAACCCTCCAAGTGACTATTAATGGATTCATGGGTACTGCTTGCGCAGACACTACCGCAACCCATTCAATTGCTGGTGAAACCCTTTACAATTTATTGAAAAATCAAGGAACAACCTTCGCAGTTAGTTCACTTGTCATGTTTTTGGCAGACAGTAGCAAGATCGAGAAAGAAGTCCATACCACCTGTGTGAAGATTCGTCTCGGAGGTCATACTTTGCCTCTAAACCTTATTGCCATACCTGGAACCAAGAAGAGCAACACTCTTTTGGGTGTTGACTTTCCAGAATCATCCGGAATTGTTCTCAACCTCAAAAGGAAAACCTGGTTTTTTAATGATCAGCCTAAACGTCAATTTCATTTTGTAGAACAGATTCAACAGTCCTGTGAAGCTGAAGATTCGAATGTTTTCCAAACGGCTGCACCGTTAACCGTAAAAGAAACTGATCACCCTGATCACTTGCATGAAGATATTCATCTGACTTCCATTCAGCAGTTCGAACTGAAAGAACATCCTGAACAGTTACGTGAAGATGAAGGTGCCCACCTAACTACTATCCAGAAGAAGAAATTGAACGAAATGTTATTTAATTAAGAAAGTAGTTTTCGACTAGGGGGAGAGGCAACTCCTTTCATTGAGCATCACATTGATACACAGAACCATCCACCTGTATCTGTATCTCCTTATCGTGTGTCCCCAGCAAGAAAAGAAATCATGAAGCATGAGATTGATAGACTCTTAGATGAAGGTATTATAGAACCCTGTGAATCACCATACGCAACACCTGTTGTACTCACAGCTAAGTCAAATGGTAGTGTTAGATTTTGCGTGGATTATAGAAAACTGAATCCCATCACCAAAACAGATTCCTATCCCCTCCCACGCATTGACGACCTACTTCATGACGCCAAACACACTCGTTATATGTCCACAATCGACTTGAAAGCTGGTTATCATCAGGTGAATGTAGCTGCTGCGGACCGAGACAAGACAGCTTTTACTTGTCCGTTCGGAACTAACCGCTTCGTAAGAATGCCTTTTGGATTAAAGAACGCTCCAGCGACTTTCCAAAGACTCGTCAATAATTTCAGAAGTGGTCTGGAAAATATCTTTATATTATCTTACCTTGACGATATAATTGTTCTATCAGAAACTTTTAAAGAACACTTAGAAAATTTGGAAGAAGTTTTTCATAGACTTTCCTTATTCAAACTAGCTGCTAACCGAGAAAAATGCAACTTCGTATGCTCAAAGGTCAAATATGTGGGACATTTTATTACCCCAGAAAGTCTCCAAGCTGACCTTAATAAAACAGCCGCTATTCAGAACATACCTGAACCCAGGACTGTAAAGCAAGTGCAGTCCTTTCTGCAGACATGCTCCTGGTACAGAAGGTTCGTTCCGAACTTTTCTGAAGAGGCTCGACCTCTCAGTAACCTCACCAAAAAGTCCTCCTCTTGGTGCTGGACAGAAAAAGATAAAACTTCTTTCAGCATTTTAAAGACTTTGCTAACTTCACCACCTGTTTTGAAGCAGTGCGACCCTAACACACCTTATGTTATACGTATGAGTGCATACGCTCTTGGTGCTGTCCTCCTTCAAGGAAAGACCAATGAAGATCAGCATTCCTTTGAGTATGCAAGCCGACTTTTAACTAGTGCTGAACGCAATTATTCAACAACTGAGTGCGAAGCTCTTGCCGTTGTTTGGGCTCTAGGAAAATTCAGATGGTACATTGAGGGACAATCGTTGCTACAGATCATCAAGCTTTAAAATGGCTTATGTCTCTAAGGTCCCCTTCAGGACGACTTGCTCGTTGGGCTTTGCTACTTCAGGAGTTTAATCTCCATATTGAGTATGACCCCGGCAAATGCAATGTAGTTGCTGACATGCTCTCTCGTCCTGTTTTTCCTGTGTGTTCGTTCCTGTTTCTCGTCCGTCGAGACAGCTTGTGCGAGATATGTGCTGTGACTGTTAGCCAACCTATTGTTGTTACGATAGATTTTCCTACTAGAAGTCCTAAGGAAGTCAGAGAAAGCCAACTACAAGATGAAAATTTGAAGAAAATAATTGATAGTCTTGAAGCAGTCAACCTGACTGAAGAATACAGAAATTGGACAGAAAGAAGTTTTTTAATGAATCGAGGTATCCTCTACAGATATGCCCCCAATTCCGAAACTGATGAAGCACAACTAGTCATTTTAGAACATGAAAGAGAGCAGATCCTCAAACTCCATCACGATGCTCCTACCGCAGATTATTACGGTGCGGAGGGAACTTTTGACAGAATTTCAAGAAGATATTACTGGACAGGCATGAGGAAGTACATAACTAATTATGTGAAAGAATGTATTGAATGCATGAGATACAAGCCCTCTAACCAGAAACCTTCTGGTCTACTCCAAACTCCAGTTCCGTCACAAAGGTTTGAAACATTGTCAATAGACCTATTTGGTCTTCTTCCTGAAAGCCATGGAAAGAAGTGGATCTATATTGTGGAAGATGTTACCACTAGATGGGTTGAACTGTTTGCACTGGAAAAAGCAGCAGCAAAAGAATGCGCTACCACCCTGATAGAAGAAGTATTTATGAGGTATGGTATTCCACGCAGAATTATCAGCGACAACTGACCTCAGTTTGTGCCCGCTATTATGCAGCTACTTTGTTATCTGCTGGACATTCATCAATCCTTGATCCCTGTATACCATCCCCAGGCGAACCCAGTAGAGAGGAAGAACCGAGATTTGAAACGTCGACTTGCAATGTTAATTAACAACCGTCATGAGACATGGTCGGAAAAACTTCCTTCGGTTCGCTTTGCACTCAACACCTCTGAGTGCAGTTCCACTGGAAAAACTACTGCTTTTCTCAATTTTGGCTGAGAATTGCGCACAATCGATGACATTACAAATGACTTTCGCGGAATTATTGAAAATGACAACTTTGTAGCAGAGATGACTCCTTATCTAAAGAAATTAGAAAAATTCACGTCTGACGCCAAGGAGATCATGCAAGGACAACAAGATAAAAACACGTCGTATGCGGATCTGAAAAGAAGACCCGCTCCTGCATACTCTCCGGGAGATTTAGTCCTAGTTACGAAACCCAACATAAGCAAGAAGAATACTGGTGTTTCATCGAAATTTATGCCCCGTCTTGACGGACCTTTTGTCATCGTTGAACAAAAATCACCAGTATTGTATTCTGTGGCGAACACAGATTCACCTAATTTACCAGTAGGTGTATATCACACCTCTGCGTTAACTCCGTTCAGAGGTAATAAAACTCCACCTGTACAAGCTTTGCGCAGAAGAGAAAGACCTGCCAGAACTATTAAACCCAGCTCTCCCACTCCTACCAATGCTCGAAGACAGCAAGATTCACAGAGTGCCTTTTCTGCTGACCCCTGGTCGGGTCGTCTTTGGGGTCAAAGGGGGAGATTATAACGGATAGTTAATTCGTAGCACCAGATGCCGCTACCCCTCTATCCGCAAAAACAATAACAATAGTCTTCATTCTGACTTAATGTGAGATGACGCAAGACGAGCTCCTAACCTTCCTGGTTCCCTTTTCCCCACTCAGTTTGGATAAAACTTTCAAGTTCTTTTTTTTTATGTTAGTTAAGGTTATGTTGTTACTCTTTATTGTTTAATGTGAATGTATAATTAAAATATTGAGCTCTTTGTGATGGTGTTTTCCTTCCATCATCTTGCGTCCTTAAAAGGTCACTATTAAGGTCGGTGGCTTATTTTACACTTTTACTCTACGTTAAATTATTAGCAGTACAGATACAATATGATAGATTATATACTATACTGTTCGAATTAATTGGGACAAATGCAAAAAAAGTGATTTATTGAAACTTTAGTTTTTAATCATTACACACCTTAAGTCACATTGATACATGTCTGTATTAATATGAAGTATGTCCTCCTTTAACAGCTATGACTTCAAGAACACGTTTTGGCATTGATTCCACTAATGTAGCGCACATGTTCTTGACTTCATCGTCGTGGAATCATACTTGAATAGCACTTTTTATCATTTGTTCTGCTGTCGTGCAATTCATCTTGGCTAAGCGATTCTTTAGAATATGCCACAGGTTCTCAATGGGATTTAGNCCATCATGCCTTTCAACCGATTGTCATCTTGCCCCACGTAGATCGGTTTTTGTGGATCTTCAATCAATTGGAGTGTTCCGTGAGGTTCATCTACTGTTACCTGGGATTCACAGTGTCTCTTTTTCTTAATAGAAACCCCGTTGATACCATTTTGTTTCAGATGATTGCTTTTTGTGGCTATAATGGCTGATATTTTTGAGTTAGGCAGTAGAGAATTATCTTCGTCGTCATCATTTCCATTGTGGTGAATTGTAGAGACTGTTTTATTCTTTGAGGAAGGATTTTCGTTCAGCAGATTTTCTACTTCTTCCGATTTCGTTAGAAAATTCAGATTCTGGTCTCCTGTAATGGAATTAAAAATTTTTTAATCCTTTTTTGTCCGACTTAAGGTTGTAACGGATAGTTAATTCGTAGCACCAGATGGCGCTACCCCTCTATCCGCAATAACAATAACAATATAGTCTTCATTCTGACTTAATGTGAGATGACGCAAGACGAGCTCCTAACCTTCCTGGTTCCCTTTTCCCCACTCAGTTTGTTCAAGTTCTTTTTTGTTATGTTAGTTAATGTTATGTTGTTACTCTTTATTGTTTAATGTGAATGTATAATTAAAATGTTGAGCTCTTTGTGATGGTGTTTTCCTTCCATCATCTTGCGTCCTTAAAAGGTCACTATTAAGGTCGGTGGCATATTTTACACTTTTACTCTATGTTAAATTACTAGCAGTACAGACACAATATGATAGATTATATAGTTCATAGATAATAGATTATATAGTTCAGACATTTGTAAGCATAACAATAATAGTGATTATACGTTTACTTATTTTGACTAAAAATAAATAATTTTGAAATATTTTATCTTTAAACACTTTCATTTTAACCAAAATATGTCACACTGTTTGGAAACTTTTCCTTCGTCCCACTTCTGACATCATGTGTGGACAGTGTTCATTGATCTTTAATGAGCATCGAATGACGTAACTATATATCAATATTTATTATTAAGCTCGAACCAATAATTATCTGTATGAGCTTAACAGATAGATTACCTGCTGTGTATTTGTTGTTATTTTGACCATCTAGAGAAGCCATTTTGGGGATCCATTGAGCAGGCCTCATGAGTGATGCTCCCAGGATTCCATGCAGAGTGATGCCAGCCATCATGAGGAATGAACCGCCAAGTCCGTACTCTTCGATCGCAAATTCCACAATGGGCGGTAAAGCGAATGATCCAGCCGTCGCTCCTGCACACGCTATACCCGCACCTGTACTCTTGTACTTTACGAAATACTGATTTATCATGACTGGCACTAAGGTGACTGCCATACCAACACCGAATCCTGTAAAAGGAAAACAATGAACATGTCAAACAATATTTTAAAAGCTTATTATAAGGGTTGTTCGGAAAATAATTTCGTTTTTTTTTTAAATGAAAGATTATTTTCTTACGGTGAATAAATATTTTATTAAATTCTGGTCCAGTACTATCTTTCTGGTAGTAGCAAGAATCCGTGCTCGTAAGGTTTTTGTCCTTTGCTGATAAAAAAGCGATTCAAGTGATTTTTGTCCTCCTCATTCAAACTGAAAGTTTTACCTACAAAAATTTTTTTTAGAGAGACCGGAACAAATAGTGTATTCAACTCATTTTTCGTCACCAGTGACCTTCAAAAGTAGATTTTTTTTTTTACGTGAGAGAGGGAATGAACCCACATCAAAGAATATAGAAAGGAGAAGTCAAGCTCTTAGAATACGTAATGAACTGCTCGGTTTGGTATGTTATACCAAAAAAACAACGCACAGGGTGAGCAGATTTTTTATTTTTATAACCGTCGTTGAACAGCCGACCCAATTTCATGCGTTTTTGACTACTTACGTTCAACTCCGTAACCTTGTAATTTTGAACCAATCCAGAAGACAAGGAAACTCCTGGATCAGTACCCCCAGAGGTATTGATTTGTTGTGGGAACATGCAGGAATTTGAGTCTCGACAGATTTAACGTGCATCAGTCACCATTTACTACACGGGGAGTCTTCGGCCGGCGAGGATCGAACCCACGACCTCTTGGATATGGGCCCAGCTCCCTACCGACCAGGCTATCCCGGCCCTAGGGTGAGCAGATTGAACAAAGCATCCTATGTACCAGTGCATGTGCATAAAAAGCAAAGTGAGTGTCGGGGCGAACGTGACCTGTGACTCTAAATCAGGCCCATCGATAACCGATTCGAGAGGGGGAGAGTTGAGGTTTATTTTGCCGACTGTCATATATATATATATATATTGTATGTGTGTGCGTATACAAATATATANTATATATGTATGTATGTATGTATGTATGCGCACACACATACAATTTGTATTTGACTAAAGTTTGATAATCAAAGGTAAAACAGAACAAATAAAAGAGTTTAAATTCGCCACAAAACTTGAGCTTCCAAAGTTTACTTTGAAATCATTTCGACTAGTTATAAACATAATGCTATGCATCGAAATAATTTTTACAGCACTTGAAAATGCAACCACCAAAGGCGATAAATGTGGTATTATTTATAACTAAATGGTATCAGTAATTATTAAAAATAATAAAAGGAAAATATAGTTTTTACATTTCTATAAATTTTTATTATTAAATCGGTAACAAAATATTTAAAAAAAACTATTCCTAAATAAACTGAAACTTATTCAATTGAAATCAGTTTTCAGTAATAGTGATCCATAATAATTTGTGGAAATAATTTTAAAAAATAAAGTTGTAAATTTAAATGTTTTTCAATGCAACTTTTAAATACTTTTACTTCATATTTAAATGTTTTTTGAAAAATCACTTAGTTATTAAAATTTATTTTTTGTTTCGTCTAAACGTTGTTACCATAAGTTAATTAGAGCAACTGTTTGAAGATAAGAAAGTAAGTCATAATCAGCAAATAGTCTTCGATCAGAAATTGATTCAAAACAAAATTCATTCAAAAGTAAATTGTCCTTTCATTTTTAAAAAATAATGTAGAAAAACATTGAAAATATTTGCCATTTAAATTATAAATGAAGAAATTCGCATAAAAAGGATAAAAAAATTAAAATATTAGCAAAGTTACGTTATATTAATTATATTAGTTGCGTAAATTTAATTCGGCGTTGCTTTAAAAGTGAAAAATATTCTGCCAATTTATCAAGCTTAATATTGTTAACAATATCTTTTTCTGCTTTGAATAAAAGCAGTGAATTTAGGCGTTCACCAGTCATTGTTGTTCGAAGATAGTTTTAAATCAATTTCATCTTGCTGAAAATTCTTTAATTTGTCTCAACTATCATTGGTACAGTTAACGCTAACAGATTTAACAATTGAAAACTTATGAAAACATTTATGCTAAAATGATTATTCAGCATTTTTAATACAAAACTGTGAATTGAATTTTTACATAATTACAAAATTATTACCGAAGTTTCTTTTTACAAATAATTAACTTAAACAAATGGAAAACTGTTAACTTTAGTCAAAAAGATAATATAAAAAATATTAAATACATAAGAAATACAACAAAATAGCTTCGAAGAATTATTTATCAGAAGAAAAAAAAAGAAACTGAAACTTTTCTATTTTTAAACACATTATATTTTCAATAAAATAAGCATTAGTACATTTTTGTTCATAAAGGATTGCAGTTTGAACTTATCATAAAAACAAGCCTACGAACAAATATAGAATATGAAATTTCAATTAAATAAGATCTATGAAAAATAATTTCAACTGAATAAAATCTTTAAAAAAAATACTATTTCAAACACAAAATAAAAAAGTTTAGTTGCTGTTGTTGTTAATTTACGTCGCACTAGAGCTGCACAATGGGCTATTGGCGACGGTCTGGGAAACATCCCGGAGGATGATCCGAAGACATGCCATCACAATTTTGATCCTCTGCGGAGGGGATGGCACCCCCGCTTCGGTAGCCCGACGACCTGCGCGCGAAGTCGAGCACTTTACGGTAGCACAGTTTAACGAGGACCAATACCGCACACCCTCGGTCCCTACGCAGACTGATCCAAGTGGCCACCCACCCGCACACTGACCGTAGCCAGTGACTTCGGTGATCTGTTTTTTTAAGTGAAAAAAGAGTTATTTTCTATTTTAAATTCTTTTTTTATTTCTTTAGAATAAATAAGAAACAAAAGTTAAAAATCATGCACGGAGCAGCTAAAAGCGCTTCAATCTAATCTTCTCATTTCAAATATTTTCCCCTACAGAATTTTCCCTACACAGGTACCTTTTTTACCGGGACCTTTTTTTACGGGGACCTTTTTTCCGTACCTTTTTCTCCGGAACCTTTTTTTCCAGGTACCTTTTTTTCCTAGAACCGCTGGGGAGGACCCCTCTCACCCCCCACTCCGTTGACGACGGGTCTTTTCTAAATGTACGCTGCCTTCCGCTGTTTCATCCTTTTTTTTCATGTCAAAATGTGTTAGAACAGATTGAATCAAGATGGGTGATATGAATGGTTTCTCAAAGGAACAACTTTGTTGCCAATAAAAAGAGAAAACTTTTATCCTCCTCAATGTAGTGGTTGGGAAGAGAGGTCATCAGCTGCTCTAAATATTGTTCCTTCCTTTCTACACAGGGACCACACCAAACCTTGGAGGCTTACATTATGACTATGGAAGCTAGCCTTCTTCCCCTATCTATATTTTTTGCCCATATGTCAAGTTTTGAGCATGCGTTTCAAATGATTGTGAACCGGTGAATTCGATATTTCTCAGCAATTTCTCGAATTCTCCCCCTGGTATCAATTAACGCTCTTCATCAGTTTCAACTGCTCTTCCAGTGCATTTTCAATATTAAAATTGCCGGATGGAAATTTTATCTCGATACATCTTACATCGGATCATTTTTTTCGTTGCTTAAACAGCACTTTTTCGATATGCCGAAAATGCTGCTTTTCACTTTCTATATTTGAAGCACCCACCGAAACTACAAAAATCTCTTCATATATGCGACTTAGTATGAAGTTGTCTGCGAAAAAATACTCAGTTGAGAAAAAATAAATAAATAAATTACTTATCGAACGACTCATTGCTATCTTCTGAAACAGCGTTTTTTTGTAAATGATATGGTATTTTTATTGCTGCTTTGAGTTTGTAACAGTTATTCACAACTATTAGGTTAATATTCGGCTATTTTTAGTCAACGGTTTTAATATAAATACGTTAAAAGCGCTTGTTATTTAATTATTATTTGAGTTTTAAGACATGCGAAAATATAAAACTATTCATTGATTTTTGAGCTTTTCATCTAATTTAAAAAACAAACAAATAAGTATTACTTTTTCTAAATATTTAAGTTTTAAAAATATTAAGACTGAAGAGAAAAATTCTGTTTATCTCTTGAAAAAGAATGGACTAAATTCTTTTTTTAAGTACATTTAATTATTCTTCAAATCCTTTCATTTCCTTACGATTGACACATTAATAAAATGAGCTTTTATAAAATTCTATATTTTTATAAACAAAATAACGTTTCGTATCGACTTATATCCTTAGAAATTGAATTTCAAAGAAGTCGAATATTTAAAATTTGATTTATTAGGAATTCTTCAGATTATTTCGCCCACATTTTGTATTTTGCCATGTAAAATAACATGTTTTAAAATGAAGTTATAAATTGTATATCTTACAATTCAAAATTTTTTCGATTATTGCTCAGTAAAATAATAAAAAATAATGTAAATAATTACTAAAATTTATTTTATACGTGGATTTATCTTTGGAAAAATGAATTTTATAATTGTATGCAAAAACTTTTCAATCCGCTTAAAGAAATCTCGAGATAAGGCGAAATAGGTAAAAAGTAAAATTATTATTTAGAGGTCCAAACTTTGGAACGCTCTCCTGACCAAACTATGGGAACCAAATTTCACAGATTGTGATTACCCCCTCTATTTAGAAATCCGGTTCCGTTGAAAAAAAAGAAAAAGAAAGTCATGTATATACAGAGAATGTAGTACGTTTTTGTGTCTGTTTTTTTTTTAAATTTACAATATCCTCTGCACTAATTAATCTCAAACCATTAAGATTGAGTCGTAGAAAGTGAAGCAGAGTAAATGGAAGTAAGGTAAAACCTTGCAGTCCTCCTAAGAAAAATGTTATGATGGTGATGTCTTTGGCAAACCAGCAGATGATATTTGTGGTTGTGACTAGTAGTACTCCTGCAAAAGTGATAGTTCGAATACTCCATTTGTAGCTCAAAGCTCCCGCTATTGGACCTGCAAATAAATAAATTTATTGAAGAATTTACAGTGACATTTAAATAAAATCAGAAAATTACGCAGATTTTTTTTCCTTCTTTTTTTTAACGTTTTAATTTGCTTACGTGTAAGCTTCCTTGAATAAAGACGTTTTGTATATGGGAGATTTAATAAGCATTCTAATGCAGCTAGTTATTTCCTAATGACACCACCCTCAATGTATACACATTGATTTGCCTTTGTTCGTACTTTACAAGGGTTTGGTAAGACATGTTTCTATCCAATAGAATGTTACATGGACGATAATGCGTACAAAGTGGGTTCATTCCTTAGTCATTACAACTTAGTAAAATTATTTGGATTATGAAGCACATCTGACAGTCCTCTCTAACTTGCAGATTTAGTCAATGTTCTTTAGACATAAATGAGCTCCAGAAATTCGTGACTACGGGCTTTTATTCATACATATTTCTATATTTCTATATTTTATTCATATTTCTAATGCGTCGACAAGTGTGGTTATATTTTTATTTTACTTATTTATTTATTTTTTAAAAAGGAAAATAAATAAGGCCATTAGGGATAAAAAGTAAATATTCAATCGAAGTCGAAACAAAAACGCTATCTATTGAATCACTAGCAAGTAAAGCTAGATGAATCTTATAGGCCTTCAACTCCTCTCTCTTTATGTCAGCGATCTAAGAGGTTTTGATTTTTGTTATCACGCTTTCTTCATGAGTGTCGTTAGATTTCGAGTAAGGTTTTGTTTGTTCTGTTAATTAATCATTTTTTTCGACGATCTAATGAGCACTCTTTTTTTTTTGGAACACCTAAAGTGATCACGTATGATTTTCTTGAATCACTTACAGAATATGTCCAAAAAAAGTTTGTCCTAAATAAACAAATTCATTATGTGATGTGGTGTACGCTTATAAATGATTTTGCGATTATTTTAAAATTTATTATTTTATTTTATAATTTTTTTCTTCTAAGGATTCTTTTGAAACTGGATTAGTTTAAATCTGGTTTCATTTAACTCCGTGTTTTCTAAAATGACCCATACATACGTCGAAACATTACAAAAAAGTTATTGCCCGAAACAGGCAAATCAAGAATCCTACAGAAAATAACAAGATGAGAACACTATCAATTTCTCGCATCGTGGCATTTAAATGAAACGTGTTTCTCATGGAAGAATGTCAAGAAATATTTACCAAACACATTTTGAATTTTTTTAGTTCTCTCTGAGCTCTATATATCGTCTATATTGTTTTTCAACATTAATGCTAACTTTATGGTTGAAACTATTTTTATTTATGCAACCGACATTTTTTTTATATGTATCACAGATTGCTTTTGAAATAATAACGAATCAAAGATCCACCCTCTGTAGGTAAGCTATCAAATATGTGACAAAATGTGTTTAGGAATTTGTGTCGAAATTTCGTACTTCTTTTTCTCCATTAAGTCAGCATTATTTCAGAAAAATCAGTCTTATGAAATGCAACTCTCTCAAAGTAATCATTGCAGCCTTATTTTGCTCCTCACTCGATTATTTTGCTTTGGCTGTATTAATGCAATATTACAAAGCACTCTTTCTTGCTGATATAATCAAATGAGTTTTGCTGATATAATCAAAGTCTTTTCGTTTTTTTTGTTTTATGACTTTTTAAATTTTTTTAAAAACATTTTATATATTAATAATTTTTTAACTTCTATTTATGTTATTATGTTATGTACCTGTAGTATAGGCGCAGCAAATATATATATATATATATATATATAAAATAACATAAAAAAGGATCAAAGAAAGTAGAGATTAACAAAGAAAATGACGAAAAACAATAATAAGTTTCATTTACTGCGCATAAGTTGCAAGCACATAGCATTGAGAAAGCAAGGAAAAAGTATAAGGATTTTTTAAGGGAGAAGATAGAAAATATGAATTTTTTTTAAAAAAAATATTTACAAATTTAAATATTTTTTCAATTTAAAAAAAAATTATTGGAAAATTAAATAAAATAATATTGTATTTCTAATATTGCATTATGTAACCAAAGCAAAACAAATTAATACAATAGTGTGAGGAGCACGAAAAAAAATTGAAACAAAATAAAAATTATTAAGCAAATAATCTAAAGCGCAAAATGCAAAACAAAACATCCAAGTAAAAAGAGAAAATAAAAGTTCAAGAACATACAGAATAAAACTCAAAATGTAATATATATAGTGACTCGCAAATTCAAATATACTTGCAGACATTTTTCGAAAAATGATTTGAAGAGTTTTGGTAATAAGCTTGCCAGATTACAAAATATGAAAATAGAAGCGTAAAGGGAATCAACTAAGCGCGCGTTCTTACTGAAGTACAGAAGCGTTAGTTGCCTTGGATTCGCCTGAGTCTGGATGTGCACAAAGTAAAAATGTCATACTGGATAATTCAAAGTTTGTAATTACTAAGGTTGAATTTTAATTATAAAATTTTAATATTAATAAGGTTGAATCTAGAGAAATTATCAACATTTAATGAAAAAGAAAAATTCATTTATTTAATTTTTCTTTTTAAATATTAGAAGATTTTAGCCATGGATTTGCCGCATTGGATTTGCACACGGTAAAAATATGAATTTAGGTAACGAAGAAATGTTCAATTATAATATACAATTAACTCAACAATTTTACATAGAATTTAATTATATTAGTAGGACATCTATTGTTTTTAATAATTAAATTTCAATAAAAAAATAATTTAGTTAAGATTATTAATTTAATTAAGAATTTGTAGTAATGTTTGTGTACAGAAAAAAGAAACAGACTAACTTTTTCAAAATTTAATAAAAAGTAATGGATATTCAACTTATGTAATTAAATTCTATATAAAATCGTTGAGTTAATTGAATGTTGTAATTAAAACTTTCATTGTTATCTAAATTTATATTTTTACCGTGAACAAATCCAATTCAGCTAAATCCATTTAATTCAGGAAAATTCGGGGCTAAAAATCGTCTTATATTTAATAAAGAATTAAAAAAAAAATTTTTTTTTTAAATAATTTTTTTTCATTAAATGTTAATTTCTCTAAATTCAATTAAATGTTAATTTCTAAATTCAAAATATTAAAATTTTTTAATTAAAATTGTATAGTTTATAGTTTGTAAGTTAATTATAAAAAATTATCCAGTATAATATTATATCGGTCATTC